CATGTCCCTTTGGTGTACGGTTACGATAGACGTATTGAGCTCGTTGTATAGTCGTTGAATGCTATCTGCAGCTTTAGATGAAGAAACTCCTAATTAGCTGCAATGTTTCATATCTGTCTGTGATCGAATAATCAGTGTATAAGTGAATGGATAAAAGAGCGCGTCATATGAAGATAAGTCATATCATAATCCAAGTGCCAGAGTCCCTCATGCAGCAGATCGCATGTCGTGGTTCTTTTTTATTCAGTCTAATAACAAAAAAAAGGAGAAGGATAACTATTAGAAGACTTGAAAGCTCTGCAAAAAGGGTTTTCATTTATTCCGGAAATTGTGGCACTACTTTCTCCATGAGTGATCGTGTGACCTTATCAGAGCTTAATGAAGATTTCAATCTTTCAAAACTTGGAAGCTCGTGAACCATTTCTTTTGGGCCAAAGAGTTGGGAAAAAACACGTTTATGTTTTCAAAATGAGTTGAACTGAAGAGTACCAACTACATTGCAATTAAATAGATGTTTAATATGAGTTCTCAAAAAGGCAATAAAGATTGTTTTCTGTAAACATTCACTCATCATCAATGAGCAACCATACACTGTAAAACTCCAGAGCAATTCAGGTGTGTTTGTAAAGTATTGCGGATTTTCCCTCTCTTGCATTCTGAGAGTAGAAACATAGTGTCATTTTGACTAACTTATAAATCATTCTGCGTATTCTAGAGCTACATAAAGAATCTTTTTTCCGCGTTGGAAGTATTTTTCAAGACGTCTTTTATAGCCAGGTACTGGTAGTTCAAAACAGGTTCAAACGCATTTGAGGCAAAAAGACTAGGATTTTCGAAGTCATTTAAAGGGCACTAGTACTATTTCAGATCAACATGTGCGGTAATGAATACGTTGCACATGGCTGTGGCACACAAACAACGGGACATCGTTGAACTTCTTCTACGATCTGGCTACGATCCGAACTCACCAGCAAGCTGTCACTGTAAAGGCAACTGTACGGCTACTGGAAATATTCCTTTGTCTTCCATCATTCCGCGGTCCGTTATTTTTTGTCAGACCTTTTTGGTCAAAAAATTATAAATTAGCCCATCAGAAAAGCAAGACAAAAATGGACAAAAAAGTGGAAAGATAGATATTTGAAAGGATTACGCTTTGGTTACAGTAAATCTGCCTCGTTGCTAAAATAATGAAAACGACTTAAACGATTTTTTTCTTTAGAATATAACTTCCTCAAAAATTTGCAATGACAGCAACTAAATATACATTTTAGCACGCAGTCAATGACACCGGAATTATGCTCGACCTGCTTGCAGCTACGAGTTGCTTCTATAGTCGACCAAACTCCCCTTGGGGTGGCTGTACGAGCGCAAAGTAGCGAACTGATTGCTCTGCTTGTTGCTTACGGAGCTGACGTGAATTTAGGTACCGTATAGAAAGACATTTCATATACAAACATGCCGGAGTTTAAAGGTGGAACGATCTAGGTGATGACGATGGCAACACTCCGTTGATGCTTGCTGTTCGAGATTCACCGATATGT